GCAGTCATACTTTGGTGATGTTGGATGTTGCTCTGTCAAGGGTCGCTAATACAGCATCGTTCGGGTATGTCAAGAATCATATGAAGGTTGTGAATGATCAATAGAGGATTCGTCACTCTTAGATAGTAAGAGATTATGGTCCATTTTTTTCAATTAAGTTGATAATGAAATCTTTGACTAATCTATACTCATAAGTCAAAAATGTTTTCGACTTAGATTGATTTAATAGTGGGATAAAAGATATGATCAATAATCAAGATTGACACATTTTCATATCTCATAATTGATCATATCATATTGAAAAATGGATTATAGTTTCACAGTAAATGAAAAAGTTTGATGTTGTCATACCACGTGCCATTTCACATCATGTGTGTTGCCCGACACATTGCTAGATGTCAATATAGAGACGACGGATGTGAATTGATAATAAATTAAAAGAGATATTTTATTTTATCGACTTTCATTAGATCAAAATAATAATTTACAGCGTTACACATTGTTATCGAAAATCTAATAGGTCACACAAAAATGAGAACTAGAAGAATGATATTTATTAATTAATTGACAACCATTGAACAATTGTTAATTTGTTTGTTTGTGAATATGGCCAAGCTAATTAATTGGATTAATTAAATATTAGATCAGATTAAGTTTAAGAGACAGACTAAACACATTTGGATTTCTATTAATAAGTTATTAGAATTTGAGAATTAATACGAGACAATTATTATCTTGCTAGCACAAGAAAAAAGAAATCTTAATACTCTCATTCTTGTTCCATGAGTTGATTTTTATTATAGGCTAGACAATTGAACAACTGTAGATTGCAAATCGTGATTGTTCTTGTTCAAGGTAAGCAAATGAGTGTGCAATGCTTAACAAAAGTATATTTCATATCACAGTTTCTTTCTAAACACAAAGATCATTCGCGGGAATTTAAGTATTATTTATTTTTTATTTTTCAATGTACATAATTAAGTAAATTTCCAACACAAATAGGGAATTCCCTTTACGTCATTCTCATGCACAAGGCCGAATAAATATTAGTGTCACCCCTGCATGAACCCATTTCTATCTTATTTCCAAAGATTATTCAATGAAAGTATAGCATTTTAGTAATCAGAATAAAAGAATAATTAATCACACAAAAAGGCAGAGCATATATTAAAGAAATTGTCGATCAATCGTATCCGAATAAGAATGAGAACCCCCGAGGACAGAGCAAGATTGCCAAGCTTAAAATTACTTTTAAGCATTTTTTCCTAAACATGTTAAGTAAAAACTTGTTTTTACATGAAAATAATAATTTACATGTTTCGCATAGCTTATCATTACTTTTAATACGCTGAAGACTGAAGTAAAGACATTATTTATTTATATACTAACGTAGAAGGAGTGTAGAATTAAGTTAAATATTTTGAAGTTTGACAAACAAAAATATAAATCCACTTACAAGTGAACTTATAAGTGAATATTTTGAGCTTAGCCAAACATCCTCAAAGTTGGGTTTCTCTAGGTCATCACATCAAGAAATTCCACTAACTAACAGTAGGTTATAAACTTGTATATAATCAAGCCTTGAACTACTTTACAAGTCTCAACTCTCGATACAGAATTCGTTCAGCAATGAAAAGCTTTAGTGCCTCATATATAGCAATGGTGGTAGTTCAAATTGCATATGGTGGATCAAATATTATCATGAAACTAGCCCTTCAGAAAGGACTTAATCCGATTGTTTTTGTGGTTTATCGCCACTTAATAGCTATTCTTGTTTTAAGCCCTTTTGCATATATTTTTGAAAGGTAAGCTCTTAGACACACACACAAGCGCACACACACGCAATTAATTACAACACATGATGAGTAACTGATTTAATGCATGTAAACTGTATGGCAGGAAATCACGACCATCTCTGTCATTTCGTATGGCAATGAAGATATTCTTGCTTTCATCCATGGGGACGACAGTCCATCTAAATCTCTACTACATTGGTCTTGAATATACCTCCCCAACGGTAGCAAGCGCCTTGAGTAATGTCATTCCCAGTCTGACCACTCTCATAGCTAATTGTTCTTGGGTATAGATTTTAATTTCTCTAGCAATGAAATTAACAGAGCGGCTAAATAAAGATTTATGTAGGCGGACTCAAATTTATTAAGAAAAAGGCTCAATTTTTGCCATTTTTTGTATATATGAGTAATAATTTTCTTGTAGTTATATATTAATACTGTGTCCTATTCAGGATGGAAAAAGTGAAACTTGGCAGTAATAGAGGTAAAGCTAAGCTATTTGGAATACTGGTTTGCATTGGCGGATCACTTATTTTTACCTTTTGGAAAGGAGAGCACTTATTCACAAGTTTTAAGCAGAAGCCCTTAACCCAACTGTATGACACTGAAGGTATATTCTATACAATGAATAAAAAATTTAGCTTTTTTACTTCTTCAATACATTATAGCACAACCAATGTTCTACAGGTGAGTCGAGGAATCATAAGGAAAATTGGGTCAAGGGTGCACTCCTTATACTATCAGCGATGTAACATTGAGCGCATGGCCCATTCTCCAGGTACATGGTCATGCAGAAATTTCATTGTCTTTATACTTCAAGGGCATGTTCGTACGCAATGCCGAATAGGACTGGATTACACTGTAAACAAGATTTCATCTTCTTGTTTCTTAATACTGTCAAGTGGTTACATATAGCTTCTTTTGTTAAGTTTACACCAACCAATCTCCTGATTGTCGATCACCGAAAACTCATAGGCAACCGTTTACAAGATCTATCCTGCGCTGTTCTCATTAAATGTTTTGATTTGTATTTTTGCCTCTCTACAATCATCAATCTTGGCCACGTTTTGGGCAAGAAATCCACACCTATGGAAGCTAGATTGGAATGTACAGCTTTTGGCCATTGTATATTGTGTAAGTGTATTTCTTTTCTCACATCCCCCTCACGTGCTATATTTTTTTCGTTTATAACGTTTTATTAACAGGCAACCTACTTACTAACAGGGAGTTGTGATATCAGCATTGGTATACTGGCTGGAAACATGGTGTATCAGTAAGAAGGGGCCAGTCTTTGCAGCAATGTTTAGCCCGTTACTCCTTGTTATTGGAGGGATCTTTTCAGCTATTGTTTTTGCAGAGAGACTTTATTTGGGAAGGTTAGAGACTCTACAACTCTAGTGAGTCTTGGTTGGAGGGGCACAACCAGTTTTTAGGTCGGGCAAGCCTTTTTTGGCATGTCAGGCTCGATTTATCTAGGCCTGGCACAGCCGGGGATGTGTCAGACCTAGGGCTCCTACTTTCTCGGCAAAAGTTTTCTCCCTTTGTGTTTTCTTAAGTGGCTCATGTGAGCTGACTCACATAAGACGCAAGCCTCTAAAGCCAAGCCCAGCACGGCTTGACTCTAATTCCTGGGCCAGCCTAGGTGGCCCATCATGCCTTAACACATCTAGAGGTAGGGGAGATTGTTGCTAATCAACTTGTGAGTGCATCTAACATCAAAACCTAATTAAGGAGCTATTTTCTCTCTGTCACTACTGTTTATCCCAAAAAATAAATCTTAAACTAATATTTGTTCATGGTTTTCTGGTTTTCGGGGTGGTGGGAAGGTGCAATGAATTCTTCGATCCCAAGGCTGGTAGGCGACAAAGCAGGGCTTCACACGAACATCTATTGCCAAAAATTCTACCTTACTTTGTTTCCGTCTTATACTTGCATTCTTTTGTTCAAAATACAAGGTATTAATTCTTTTGTTGTTGATTTAAATTTGCCTAGCTTGATAGGAGCACTTCTTATTGTGTACTCTGGGGGAAGAAGACAGACAATGAAATGCCATGCACCAGTAGAAGAGGCTATGATGATGATAAAGTCTTAGACATTCCAGTGGATAACTCTACCATGATGGCTTCCATAAAAAATGAACAGCAGAGATGACAAAACTATTTAAGTGTATAGATACAAATCTTAGAGCTCCAAGAAAAATTCAGAAACAAGTTAAAACAGTGAGCACTTCATGATATCTGTTACTCACCTAGCAAAATGGACACGATTTGATTTTTATTTATTTATTTATTTTATTTTTGCTTAATACAGTCCAGTACTGCCTAATCAACTTTAGCAAACATGCCATAATTGTTTTATGCATCATCTTATATTGATACTGTAATGGTACAATATGAAGTAAATCAATTTAGCAAATCTTGGCTAATAATCCCAAAACCTGTTATTCATGCTTTTGATTGACTTTGGATGCCTCACTAATTACTCCAAATACCTGTTATTCGTGCTTTCGATCAACTTAGGATGAGTGTTCCAGTGTGAAAGGGAACCCATCTCCATTTACTCGAGAGAGTTTGCTATATCAATCACAAAACGATATTTCACGTCCTTCTTGATCATCCTCTCTAGAGCATCATTTGCATATTGGATGGGAATTACTTCTATGTTTGGGTAAATCTTGTTGGAAGCACAAAAATCCAGCATTTCTTGTGTTTGCTTTGTTCCACCAGTTACACTTCTTGAAATGGATTTAGCACCTGAAAGGAACAGATCAACTAAAATTCTTAAAGACGGGGTCTCATCTCAATCGCAAAAAAGAACAAGAGCAAATTACTGATTTACAATAAATAATCAAAAGTTTCATACAATTTCATACCCAAGTTTAAGCTCCCCGGACTGAATTTCACTTCGCTCGGGAACCCTACTAGAACAAGGACACCAGCAGTTTTCAACAAGGACAAATATAAATCAAATGAGATATCTCCAGATGCTGTGTCCAGTATGAAGTCAAATGAATTACACAAAGCCTGATAATCCATCAAGTTCAAATCAACTTTGTTAGTTCCTTAATCACCATTTTCAATCCATCATTTGAATAGTGATTTGATAGGTACACAATGAAAAGCCAAATAAATTGCTCCAAAAACATAGTAGTAGCTTAATTACCTTCATCTGATGTTCGTCGGTGGAGACTACAAAATTGTCTGCTCCAAGAAGAGTTAAAGCTTCTTCTCTCTTGGATACACTTGTGCTAAAAACTGTTACCTTCAGTCGAAAAGCCTTCCCAAACTTTACAGCAAGGTGACCTAGTCCACCGAGCCCAATCACCCCAAAAGATTTGCCAGGCTGATTCATGTTATGCCTTATCATGGGAGTGTAAACAGTAATACCAGCACAGAGCAAAGGTGCTGCTAGTTCCGGTGTAACTTTTGGGTATCCTGAAGCTACCTACAGAAAACTCAAGAAATTAATGAAAATCTAATGACTTCTCATCTTTCTTCACATTTGCAAAAGCGTTTGCAAGAACAAACTATTCACCTCTCATGGACTACAATGTAACTAGAATATCCTCCCTTAGTGATAGTACCATCCACATCTATCCCATCAAATGTTAAAACTGCTCCCTTAGAGCAATGAACTTCTAATCCATCATCACAATATTGACACTCTCTGCAAGAGTTTAACATAAGTTCCAACTCCAACATAGTCACCAACTTTAAAGTGCTGAACATTTGAACCAACCTGTTTAACGATCCCAACAATCTCATGTCTGTTAGGCAGAGGAACCGTAAATCGGTTAGAAATAAGAGTTCAAATGCAAATTGGCATTGATTATCTGCTTCATATAAATTGATGCATGCTTTTACCCAGGCACTAAAGGATACTTTGAATGTCCCATTTTGTTCCGGGTCCAAGCCACATCAGCATAACAAACTCCACAGTATGCGATGTCTAGTGAAACATCATCGCTCCCCACAGCCCTGTTGAGATGTATACTCCGAGAGGTGAAAAAATTATATATAAAAAATAGAAAGAACGAAAAAAAAAAAAGAACACAGTTTTACTTAAAAAGAATGCTGCAATAGAAACCATACTTGTATAGCAAAGAAGTATTGCAAGGTAAAAAATTAAAACTTGAATACACTTGTAGTGTTGGTCATAAGATGAAACAAAATGGAAGCCGGTAATTGTGGAATAAAGATTTAAAATTTTCAGTCTGCAGTACATTAAGTATTCAAAGTTCACAGAAAATTCAACAAGGAAACAAGACGTTTCCAATTTGTCTTGACCCAAGTAAAAGAAACACAAATTCTCCAAATGAGAACATATACTGGGAGACGGATTATATTGTGCAGGCTGGGCTTCTCCATTTTGGACGAAAAGATACCCATTAATCAAACATAGGCTTGTTTGCTTGAAAGGAAACTTGATAGACGCACACCTTCGGCTGAATTTGTATGGAGACAGAATTCCAGAAGGATCTCTAGCTGCCCAACCAAGGCATTCCCCATTTGCATTTGCAGTTCCCGAAGTCATATTCAACGATCTACATATGGTAAATAGAAAAGATACGGATTCAGACAAGACAGAAAGGAATAAATGGAAGGAATGATCAAAGTAGTTCACCAAGTGAAAGTTCTCGGTGATACAATCCAACTTAAGGAATCTAACAAGGTATATTGGAGCTCAATAAAATATAGCAAAGACATACAGAGTTTCCTAAAACATGGATAACACCATTCAAATGGAAATATATTTATTCAAGCAATGAAAGCTGATCCTCAATACACAATTTAAGTAAAACATGGATAACACCTTTCAAATGGAAATACATTTATTCAAGCACTGAAAGCTGATCCTCAATACACAATTTAAGACTTATTTGTACTCATAGAGCATGTTTGGACATGGTATCGCGCTCTTAATACTGCCGAATTAAGCCAAAAAGGACTTCTTTTGTCTTTTCTGCTACGCCAAACATGCCTATCTTTCTAACGTCGCGCTCTTTGTATGCACATAAATCTTATTGATGTTTACATGCTTTGGGTACCATCTTCAATAAATACATAACTCCTTTTCAAGATTCATCTTCACCCCCTCCTTTATGCGAAAAATAAACGTAGTTCCTAGTCCATTCATACTAGATTCTAACAGAACCCGGAAATCAAATCATAGTAGTAATATTTTGACATGGATCAGAACAAGATATTCATTATACAGAGTTTTTTGGGGCTTACCCCGAGAACAAATGCAGATTCCAGTCAGCCAAACTCAACGAAGGGTGTGTTTCCGGGCACCATTAGTGTGTTTTCCCTTGTTTTTCTATTGGTGGTGATGCGTACTGTTCCTAATCTATAGGCAAATTGAATGTGTTCTTGTTAATAAATATTTGGACATTGCCCTTGTTTCAACCCCATTTTGGCAAAGAAAGCATTTTTTTTTTTTATCGATGATTGTGATAGAACGTTGGGTTAAAAAATAAGAAGAATTTGAATTGAGTTAATTCAATAAATGATTACTAAACTTTATTATAGGTTACTACATGCTCATCAAAATTCAAAAGGTTACTCTTTGCTCACTAAATTTTACTATATGTTACTACTTGCTCATCGAAATTTAAAAAATTATTCGTTGCTCACCTAAATTTAAATAAAATTACCTATTAATCACCCATATCATTTCCATAATTGCTACCTATAGTAAAGTTTAATGAGTAATCAGTAACTTTGTTCAAATTTAGGTGAGCAACGAGTAAATTTTTAAATTTCAGTGAGCAAGCAGTAACAGATAGTAAAGTTCAGTGAGCAACGAGTAGCTTTTTAAAGATCGATGAGCAAGTAGTAACCATAACAAAGTTTGGTGACCATTGATTAAATTAACTCAATTTGAATTTGCGTGTTATATTATTTCGTTAAAAAATATGCAATTAAAAAAAATATTTATCCTACATATATAAAAGACTGAAGTATATTAGCACTGTAGAAACTACGAAAATGACACAGTTTTTAATTTTATTTTTTTCTCTGTTGTTTATTTGGATTCGTCTAATGGGACCTCATAGTGTTTAGGTTTTCTCTCTCTCTCTCTCTCTCTCTCTCTCTCTCTCTTCATCTCTTCACTGGCGCCCCCGTCTTCGTCCATCAATTATTGTCTTAGGGTTTTCTCTGTCTCTTTTCGTTGTCGTCCCCTGTCGCTCTCTCTCTTCATCTCTTCGCTGTCGTCCCCTGTCGCTCTCTCTCTTCATCTCTTCACCGTCGTCCCCTTCTTCGTCCGTTGATTTCATGACCTTTCTTGGGTCGATCTAACTTTGTTAATCGTCGTGAAAGGGCTCGGATCTTGGGTGGGTCTATCAGTGTTCTAATTTTAGAAATTTTTTCGTTGTCTGAGTTGATTCTCGCCGTGAAAGGGCTCGGATCTTGGAGGGGTCGAAAAGGGTAAGGTTATTTTTCTTATTTCGTTGTTTTTTGTTCAATTTCCAGGAGAAAATTGTTTGTTTTGTGTAATTTATTTTCGTTCTTTCTATGTAAATACTTTGTTGTTGTTGTTTTTTTTTTTTTTTCCTTTTCCTTTTGCTTTTGTTTTTCCTTCTATTTATTTTCCCTTCTCTCAATTTCTGGGTTTTCATCACCTTCGTTGGGTCGATCTAGCTCTGTTAATCGTCGTCTGCCTTTTGTTGCTTTTTTTCCCGAGTTATCAGTATTCTAATTTTCGAACTTTTTCCCTGAGTTGATTATCGGCGTGAAAGAGCTCGAATCTTGGGTGGGTCGAAAAAGGTAAGGTTATTTTTCTTATTCTCTTGCTTTTTGTTCATTTTCCAGGAGAAGATTGTTTGTTTTGTGTAATTTATTTACGTTGTTATTATGTAAATTAAGATGTAGGTCGTTTTTGTCATGATTCTAAGGTTCTATTTTTAGTTTTTAGTTGTATTTTGTTTGTATTGTTGTGTGTATGTTTGAGATACATTTCTATAATTCAGTGATTCTGTAGGAAATAAATTCAATAGTTCTGAAATGAAACTGTAGGAAATTTACCTAATTGCTTTAGATATTATTTCCTTGCTTTTCGTTCATTTTGGTCCAAATGTTCTTTGGTGAATATTAGATTATTCAATAAAACAATATAGAAAATACAATGTAATTTTTTCCCTTAAAGTTATCCAAAGATGTTAGAAAATTGAAATTAGCTTTAAGATGTTGTTGATGGAAGAATTCAAACTGCCTTCTATTAAAGTATTAATTTTGCATCAACATAATGATTAATGAGATATTCTTTTAGATGTGTACTGATGCATATCAGTGTGGGCAAATTTTTGCTATTGGTTCTAATTATCTCATTTTACATTTGTCAATATAGGAGAGCTATAATTCCTTTTATTTATGTTCTCTTGCATCAAAATAATGAGTTTTTACTTTTGATGTGTGAAAACATTTTTCATTTTTTAATTATGTTTGTAGATAATGTCTAATTCTCGTCGGATACATGTTTCCAATCACTGCGACGATGGTGGAGCTAAAAAAGTTTTTCTGACAAACAAAAAAGAAATACAAAATAAGAGACGAAGAGAATCATATGTAAAGCAAAAGGAATTGAAAGGAAAGAAGGGAAGACGTACTGGTCATCCTTCACGTGCATCACAATTACAAGGTCAATTACTCTATATTTTTCATACATAAAAGTCGTTCATCTTTTTGAATATCTTCATGGTCGACAAATTTTGATTATGTAAAATTTCTCAATTTTTAGTTTTCATTTTTATGGATGCGGTCACCGAAAAACGTGTGAAAATGAATAATTTCTTTTTAAAACAATTTGATGCTTTTAAAAAAATATATATATGTAGGAAATATAGGCATGTGTCATAAGAATGTTAGGTTCAATTATTAATCTCATTTGTACCTTTTATATAAATGGAACGTTATTATTTCCAAATTTTGTGTTTTTGGAAGCTAAATTTTTTTTATTACAAATTGATCTTTATGGTGTATTTTTGTATATGTACTTGTAAATGAAGCTAATTAAAATCTATGTATTGTAGATTCACGCTTTGGTGACGATGTCTTGTGTGGTACTAAGGCACTCGCTTCTTGCTCCATCGTCCTAGGTCCTGAATCTTGTACCGACACTATAGGTATATTTAACAATAAAATTGAACTTGAAAAACAGAGTGAACATATTCAACTTTAAGGTTACCTGCAATTCCAATTGAACCTTACATTTTATCATCGCATACGCTTTGTAGTTACTGTAATGCAAAGAAATTCTGCAAAGAACCTAAAACTTTTTTGTTGTTCTAATGGAAAAATTATGTTATGCCTTAATACTGTACCATCTGATATGTATGATTTGTTCACATCATCGTCACCTGAAGCTTTACAATTTAAGACTATTTGTCGAAGTTACAATAACCATTTTGCTTTCACGTCCTTCGGCGTAAAATATGACACTGATTTATGTAGGATGAATAAAGGAATTTATACTTTTGGAGTTCAAGGTCAGGTGTATCACTACATAAACCCATTGTTACCACATGATGGCAAACCAAGTTATGTACAATTATATTTTCATGATACTGAAAATGAAATTCAAAATTGTATGAACACTTCTAATTGCTTTTCAGAATCAATGTTACGAAAATTGATAGATATTTTAAAGATCAACAATCTTTACTCAAAAATGTTTCGCTCTCTAAATAGTATTAGAGCCTTAGAAACGTATAAAATACAAATAAGATGTAATTCTAAACTCGATCAAAGGGTGTACAATCTTCCAACAACATCTCAAATAGCTGTAGTTTGGGTTGATGAAGACCCTACTGCAGAAGTTAGAGTTCGCGACATAACCATTTTTGGTCATTCTGGATCATCTCATAGAGTACATTATTACTTTGGTTGTTACGATCATCTTCAGTACCCTTTGTTGTTTCCTTATGATGAACCTGGATGGCACAAGGGCATTAAAAGAATTACCAAAACACACCCTTCTTGTTTTCTTGCAACCGAAGATGTAATTGACATTAGAAATATGAACTCTGTAGAAGAACTAATTGAGAGAGAGAATGCAGGCATGTCAATAAAAACTTTTTCATCTCTTTTATCCATTTGTAATGTCGTTTATTTTTAGTTTGCTATGCCATTTAAAATATTGTCTCATTTCTTTCTTTTAGGGGTTAGAAAACCGAAGAAAAGATCTCAAGTTTCTTGTCGAGAGTACTATTGTTATAAATTACAAATTAGGACTTCATGTAACTCGATCTTGCTTCATGCTAGTAGACTTTTACAGCAATACGTAGTTGACATGTATGTGAAAATTGAAACATCTAGATTAGATTACTTTAGAAATAACCAAAAACATATACGTGTTGAATTATACCAAAGGATTGTTGATCCGATTGGAATAGGTGAAACTAGAGGGTATAAAATTGGTAAGAAAATTGTTTTACCATCATCCTTCATTGGAGGTGCTAGAGATAAAAAGAAAAGATATATGGATGCAATCGCTTTAGTTCAGAGATTTGGAAAACCTGATATTTTTTTGAC